CACTGGGCTGTGGACCACACTTTGAGTAGCACCTGCTCAAAGGCTAACAGCAAATACTAGAAGTGGAATTTTTTTTTCCTCTTTGGCTTAATTTTTGTGATGGAGTTATACGGCTGTTCAAAGTGAAATTTGATTTAAAATATACAAAAATAATAATTCAAGAGAAAGTATATTTTCTCCCAACTCCAGGTTCATGGACACTTCGCAGTTGCTGTAAACCACAGCCCTCCTCCCTCTGCCTGATGCTGTCGTCTCGCTCCCTCCCACCCTCCCCTACCTTCGCCTCCATTTCCCTCTCTCCTCCACCTATGGCTGTAACCTCCCTCCTGGCCTATGGGCAGGTCCCTGGCTCTGGTCCCAGCCTTTGCCACTGTTCCAGACCCTCCCCCACCAACGCTAGGGAGATCACTTTCTCTCTGAGCATCCGTGTCCTGGTGTGGGCTGGGCTGTCACATGAGGAGACAAACCGGGCCTCTAGCTCCTGCCACCCGTCCCTCCCAGGCCTCCGCAGCTCCGTCCCAGCACCAGGCACACCAACGCCCCGACTCTCAGCCGGCGTGCGTCTTCCTCTCTAACTAAGAGCTCCCCCAGGCTGAGGCAGCTCCTCCCCAGGGAAAAAGCCAAGCCAGGTTGTTGTACTTTTTCTCTGCTGTGACTTAAGGCCATGCAAACTCTTTTACCTGTAATAAAGGTAATAATAATGCATACAGTAAGTTCTCACTTAACCTGGCAGATCTGTTCTTGGAAACTGCGACTTTAAGGGAAACTAAACCAACATTACCATAGGCTAGTTAACATAAACAAGTTAAGTTGCTATAGTGTATTTCTGGTAACAAACACATCACCAAACTTCTAAATAAAGACCAAAACACTTCTAATATGAAACATCGAAACAAACACGAACTATACATACATTTAAGAAAGATTAATGAAAACAAGTAAGATAATTATTTACCCAGTAATTCCGGTTCAGGAGGGTGGCTGGAGCCTGCGCTGGCAGCTCAAGGTGTGAGGTAGAAACTCACCCTGGACAGGACGTTTCTTGATGTCCTTGCCAACACTTGCTATTTTCTGTTTGTTTTTAATAACAGCTGCTGGGTGTGAAGTGGTATTTCATTGTGTTTTTTTGTTTTTTGTTTTTTGGGTTTTTTTTTGAGACAGAGTCTCTCCCTGTTGCCTGGGCTAGAGTGCCAGGGCATCAGCCTAGCTCACAGCAACCTCAAACTCCTGGGCTCAAGCGATCCTCCTGCCTCAGCCTCCTGAGTATCTGGGACTACAGGCCTGTGCCACCATGCCCAGCTAATTTTTCTATTTTTAGTCATCTGGCTAATTTTTTCTATTTTTAGTAGAGACGGGGTCTCACTCTTCCTAAGGATGGTCTCTGAACTCCTGACCTCAAGCAATCCTCCCACCTCGACCTCCCAGAGTGCTAGGGTTACAGGTGTGAGCCACCGCCCTGACCTTCATTATGGTTTTGATTTGCATTTCCCTAATGATTAGTGATGTTGAGCATCTTTTCATTTGCTTATTAGCCACCTGTATATCTTCTTTGGGGAAGTGTCTATTTAAGTCCTGTACCTATTCTTTAATCAAGTTGTTTGTTTTTTGTTGTTGAGTTGTAGAATTTTTTAAGATGTTATCTAGATATTAATCTCTTAGCAGATGTATGATTTGCAAAATATCTTCTCCCCTTCCATGGATTGCCTTTTCAGGCTACTGATTGTGTCCTTTGAGACACAAAAGTTCTTAATTTTAATGAAGTCGAATTTATTTTTGTTGTCTATGCTTTTGGTGTCATAACCAAAAAATGCTGCCCGGCCGGTGGGGCCTGGGGCGCCAGGTCGCCCAGCTCTGGCTCCATCAACGCCCTGGGCTCGGCCACCTCCCCTCGTCCCTGCGTGGCGGGCGGTGCGTGGCGGGCGCTCTCCTCGGAGCTGGGAGTCCGCCGGGTGCCCGGGGCCGAGGGGGCCAGCGGGCGGCGATGCCCAAGATGCCCATGCCGGAGTCCCGAGGGCAGGCGGCCTCCGGCGTGCTGCCTGCCTGGTCCACAGAAAGTTGCGGAGAAGCGTCCGGGACATCCTGGCGCCCTTCCTCTGCTCCCCGAGGGCCGGCATCCCTGCAGGGCACACGGCCCAGCCCAGGTCCCAGCGGCCTGATGTGGGGGCTGTGCCTGTGAGGCTCCGTGCAGTTGGAGCACTTCGTGGGAGCACCCCGCAGTCCAGGAGTGGAAGGGTCCTCACCCCAGAAATCTCCCCAGGACACCATGTTTGCACGAGGATTGAAGAGGAAGTGTTCCTCTTCCTTGGAGAGGAAGTCCTTCCTCTGACCAGGAGGCAGACATGGGGGCAGCTCTGGCGGACTTCAAGGCTGTCCCCTCCTACTGCCTGGCGCGTGCCAGGCACACGGGTGCTTGCAAAGCGTGTGTGTCCGTGTGCCGTTGGACTGGAGAGCCCTGTGCTGCTTGGTAAATTGGTGCTGGGACAAAATTTAAGTTTAGAATGAAAAAAATCTGAATCCGTGTAATTTATGGCCCTCGGTTTTAAGGGTCATTGAGGGTGCTGCCATAGGAAGTGGGGGTGGGCTTGCTCGGTCAGACCCTTGTCCCTGCTCACGGGTCAGGCCGTTTCCCCACCCCCACTCACGTGTTTCCTGTTTGCCATGCTTTTTTAAATTTCCCTACCCCTTAGCCAAAAAGGTTTGCTTTCTTCTGTGCGTACGACCATCCTTTAATGCTGGTGATATAAGCCTCATTTTATTAAAAATTATCCAACAAACAGACAAACAAACAAAAAATGCTTGCCACATACAATACCACGAAGCCCCTACATTTTCTCCTGAGAGTTTTGTAGCTTTAGCTTTTATGTTTAGGTCTTTGGTCCATTTTGAGTTATTTTTTAGCTTTCTTTTTTGAGACAGGGCCTCACTCTGTTGCCCAGGCTGGAGTGCAGTGGCCCAATCATAGTTCATGGCAGCCTCTAACTCCTGGCCTCAAGCAATCCACCTGCCTTGGTCTCCCAAAGTGCTGGGATTACAGGCATGAGCCACCGTCCCTGCCTATTTTGAGTTAATTTTTATTTATTTATTTATCTTTGAGACAGAGTCTCACTTTATTGCCCAGGCTAGAGTGAGTGCCGATGGCGTCAGCCTGGCTCACAGCAACCTCAAACTCCTGGACTCAAGCCATCCTCCTGCCTCAGCCTCCCGAGTAGCTGGGACTACAGGCATGCGCCACCATGCCCGGCTAATTTTTTCTCTATATATTAGTTGGCCAATTAATTTCTTTCTATTTATAGTAGAGAGGGGGTCTCGCTCTTGCTCAGGCTGGTTTCGAACTCCTGAGCTCAGAGCAATCCGCCTGCCTCGGCCTCCCAGAGTGCTAGGATTACAGGCATGAGCCACCGTGTCTGGCTGAGTTATTTTTTAAATATGGAATATAGGGTCCAACTTCATTCTTTTACATGTGGATATCCAGTTTTCCCGGTCTTGTTGAAAAGATGGTCCTTTCCCAGATTGGATGGTCCTGTTACCCTTGTCTGAAATCATTTGACCATATATGTAAGGGCGTGTTTCTGGGCTCTCTATTCTATTCTGTTAGTCTAAATGTCTGCCGTTATACCAGTGCCATACTATTTTAATTACTGTAGCTTTATGGTTAAGTTTTGAAATCAGAAATTATGAGACTTCCAATTCTGTTATTTTTCAAATTGTTTTGACTATTTGGAGTGCCTTGAGATGTCATATGAATTTTAGGATGGATTTTTCTCTTTCTACAAACAATTATCACTGAGATTTCAATAGAGATTACATTGAATCTGTAGATTGCTTTGGGCAATATCAACTCCTTAACAATATCAAGTCTTGTAATCCATGAATATGGGATGTCTTTCCATTTAGTTGTGTCTTTAATGTCAGCAACACTTTATAGTTTTCAGTGTACAAATCTTTTTGCCTCCTTGGTTAAATGTATTGCTAAGAATTTTATTTTCTTGTTGCTATTGCAAATGGAATTGTTTTCTTAATTTCCTTTTGGGATTATTGATGATCAGTATATAGAAACAACTGATTTCTCTGTGTTGTTTTTGTAGCCTGCAACTTTGCTGAGTTTATTGGTTCTAATAGTTTTTTTGTGGACTCCAACTTGTTGTTTTTGTTTTTATTTTTACCTGGAGACCTGATTAAGGACAGGTTTTCTCCCCACCTTCCAAAGCCAGTGGGAAGGCTTTCTCTAGCTCCCCATTCATTGAGTGTGTGGGCTTCAAGATCCCAGCTGCACTCAAGAATATTGGTTCCAACTTCCCGTTTCATAAAGGCCAAGGCCTAGGTCCTGGCCATTATAATGCAAATGCATAGCTGCTCAGCCTATTTCCCTTCCAATACTCTCCCCTCGGAGGCCCTGCTACATCCTCAGCTCGCTCACTCTTCAGCTTTTCTACTCTCTTGATTTCAAAAACAGACACTTTATATTTCTACAAACACAGAGCAGGAGGGGTCCCAGCATCCCACTTTCAAACAAGCACGTCAAGCACATGCACTCAGAGAGGGCACGTGGAAGCCAAAATTCCGTCTACAGTGAAAAGCCCGATTCCAGAATACAGCTAGAGTGGGAAATGCCTCGGTCCCTCCTCCCATAAACAAGGACTGTGCCTCCCCACGGGGCTGGGAGCCAGCCAAGGGCCAGGCCACGTGGGGGGTTGGCTGTCTGCTGTTACTGAGGGGCTTCTATGCGCCAGGCAGCGTAGTAGACGCTTACTTACGTTATATCTCATTTAATCTTCCCTCCAGCCCTATGAGATAGGTACTATTATTGTCAGTGATTCATTCAGCTGAGAAAGCTGCCCAAAACACAAATAGGAAGGGACAGAAACAGGATTCAGACTGAGGTTGGTCCAACCTTTTACCAAATTCTCACCTTCCAAAAGCTTCCTCACGTTGCTCAGTCCTCTGTGGCTGGGGTCTATGTGTTTTCTTTCCTCTTATCTGTCCTCAACGCCCACTGGGTGTGATCTGGGTACAACCAGCCGTGGCTCTGCAGAGGTTGCTGCGATTTGGCCCCTTAAGCATCTGTCCACAACTCAGGAGGGTCTGTGGAACTCACACAGCTCTTGGCCTGAACCCCTGTTACCGAGAGAGAGGAGGCTTTTGCCAAGGACTCCAAGGGGAGTGGACTCAACTCTGGTCTGGACCCAAGGCACCCAGCCCTCCCCGAGACATTGTGTGAGCCAGGCTGGGCCTGCAGACACAGCCCCTGCCGCCCCACCCCGGCCAGGGTGGTGCTTGTGTGGGAAGGACTTTAAATCCAGCTGCCAGACCCCTGGACCAGAGAAGCAGAGAGGGCTGGCCACCATGCGCGGCGCCTGCAGCGTCCTGGTGCTTCTGCCGCTGCCGCTGCTACTGCTGGTGGCCACCACGGGCCCCGCTGGAGCCCTCAAGGACGATGAGAAGCGTGAGATGGTAGAGCTGCACAACCTCTACCGCTCCCAGGTGTCCCCGCCTGCCTCAGACATGCTGCAAATGGTGAGTGTGGCTGGAGCCCCCCCGCTGGGATTGAAGGGGTGCAGGGAGGGCCTGCCACCAATCCCTCTCCCCACTTGCACCCCTCAACCCCCCACCGCCCCTCCACTCCCCAGTGGTGCTGTAGCTGTTTCAGAATCTCAGAGGCTCATCTCTCTGGTCACTGCCTGAGTCCCTGGCATTATATAATTCACAGGACCCTATAGGCAGCCCCATTATACAGAGGAGGAAACTGAGGCTCAGAGGAACTTGCTTGGGGTCACACAGCTAGTAGAACCAGACCTGGAAGTCCCAGCTTCCCACTCCAATGACCCTTCCCCAGCGCTTCCCAAAATGCATGTGCCCTGGGAGGGGGCAACAGGGCAAGTTCTGTTTTTGTTTTGTTTTGTTGTTTTTTTAAGACAGGGTCTCATTCTGTTGCCCAGGCTAGAGTGCCATGGGCATCAGCCTTTAATACTTTGTGAAAACAGCCTTTCAGATGCCTTCCAAGGAGGTGAGAAGAGGAAGCAGGGCAGCAGGATGGGCCGGTGGGTCGATGGGTCCGTGGGGGGGGCGCCTGGGGGGGAGGCAGGTAAAAGGAGGTGGGGCCAGAGCACCATCCAGAAGCAGAGAAGGGTCTGAATCACACCGTTCGAATTGTCTCAGTCACCCACAAGACCTGTGATCTGAGGCAAGTCCTTGCTGACCCTGTTTCTCATCTGTAAAATGAGGTCATAATTAGAGCTACATATACATCAAGACGGATTGAACCTCACAGATACAATATCGAAGGGGGAAGGAAATCTCAAAAAATACACACAGCAGGGTATCTTTACATTAAGTTTGAAAACATGTAAAATACAGTGTATGTGCCGGTGAGAGACGCATGCAGATGTAGCAAACACACACACACACACACGTGTGCGGACAGATGACAGAAGCCACATTGGGGCTGGTTACTTCCGTCAGGGAGGGAGAGCCACTCGATGGCAGGTTGGGGCAGGATGTCCACACTCAGGATCAAAGGAGATCAGGGAGAAATGCACCGCTTTCCTGCCCTCTGTAAGGGCTGAACTAGTCTGTCCCCTCCAGCCACCTCTCAGGTGGCCTTGGCAGTTGGTGGGAAGTGTCCTGAGAGCGAAGTTGCTCCTGGGGGCGCAGCAGCAGGCTGGGCAGGACCTGGGTTCCAACCTCGGCTCTGTCTGCTGGGGCTCAGCAACTCTGGGAGGGCCCCTCCCCTCCCCTCCCCTCCCCTCCCCTCCCGGAGACACCGGCTGGGCAGGTGCGCAGGGAAAGACTAGGAAGGGTTCTGCACCCCCACCAGCACCGCCATTTGTGGCCCCGTCGGCCTTAGCAACCAGGAAAAGCAGACAGCAAATCAGGAGCCCCAGATGCAGCTCTGCCACCAGCTCCCGACTGAGGCCTAGGCCTCAGTTTCCCCATCTGTAGATCACTAATGCCCTACAGTCTTGCTGCACAGGCTGGGAGCTGCTTCTCAGACAGGGCTGCATCTAGGGCTGGGGCGGCTCTCTGGGAAGCAGTTTGGATACTGGGGATATTTATGCTGCTGCCTAATGGCAGGTGATATGGGGAGGAGGCGGAGATGAGGCTGGTGAGCAGGCTGGATACATTGGGGACAGGACTCAAGTTCAGCCTCAGTGGTGACAAGTGCAGAGACTCTGGAGCCAGACGGCCCGGGGTCAAATCTTGGCTTATTAGCTATGTGATCTTGGCCAAGTTACTTAACCTCTCTGTGCCTCAGTCTCCTCATCTGTAAAATGGGGACGATAACACGGGAACATCTCTCTTTAGCTATGGTGGCTGTAGGATTAGATGAGTGAATATGTGTAAAACACTTAGAACAGTGCCTGGCACACAGTAAGTGCTCAATAAGTGTCTGATTAGCACAACAGGGAGGGGATCAGGGTGGGGCAGGTGGGGCTATCCTGGACTCTGCCCTCTCCCTCAGCCTCCACATCTGATCACCACCAGTCTTACCTCCCAGAAGGTTCCATCTTCCTTGAACCTTATAGTCTCCTGCCCCGCTGCCCCCAACTGTCTTTGGCACAACCCTGGGTCAGTCTTGCACGTTTGCAAGGGGCTCCTAGGATAGCCCCTTCCTGCTCCCCAGCCCCTGCCTCCGCCATGAGAATGAATGATCCTACACTTGGCCAGACCCTGCTCAGAATCCTTCAATGGCTCCCGCTGCTCCCTACTGCCTCGGGATGAAGCTCCAGCTCCCAAGGGAAGGCCCTGTGCGTCCTGCGCCCTGCCCGCCGCGCGGCCTCCTCTCCTGCTCCCCTTCATTCTGCGGCGACCTGGTCAGCTCTTGCCCCAGCCACATGCCCGCTTCTCAGCTCGCCCCCACCGGGCTCATGCCGCACCCTTTGACACTTAGCGCAGTGCCTCCCTCTCCTCCCTCGGCTGGGCCCTCTTGGGGCCCCACAGCACGGTTGCATGTCTGTCACTGGTCACATGGTGGCCCAGCTGACTTTATGACAACGTGAACTTGGGCATCTCTGTTCTTGCTGTTGCCCAGGGCTGGCACGGTGCCCAGGACTGTTGAATGAAGGAAGGAATGAATGGACTTGCTTCCCCATGGTGACCGATGGCCCAGGTGGGGGAGTGCCGGGCTCGCGCAGCTCGCGGCGGGCACCAAATGACCCCGGGAAGCCTGAAGACCCAAAGCCTTGGCTCTCTAATGGCGGGACGTCAGGCATCGAGTCCGTGCAGATCGCAGCCAGGCTCTCCAGGGACACTGAGTTAGGCAGAGCCCTGTGTCAGGCATCAATAGCTGACACGTCTCTACTGGGCACCTACTACGCACCAGCACCATGCCAGACGCAGGGGTACCTCGCTGCCCTAGCCTGAAGGAGCTTGCAGTGTAGCCGGCAGCCCCGGGGGTCATTCAGACACCCTCATCCTGGTCCCCGGCACCCCACCCCTGTCTCCCACGAGAGTTGAGAGGACCTTGGGGACCAGAGATTTGGGACAAAGGTGTCCAGAGAGGGAAAGGGACTCACTTGAGGTCACAGCAGTGGGGCTATCCCAGCCGGGCGCTCCCCGCCCCAAGCCAGGCAGCTGCTTCTAGAAGCCAAGAGTGGGTGGCGAGTGGGTGTGGCCGCACAGCGCCCTCCCCTCAGGGTCACCCAAGCTTTTGGCGCAATATGGGCCGTCTGGCTCTGGCGGCTGGCTGGGCCCCCAGAGGGTGGAGCAAGATTGCCGCCAGGCCATCGCTTCCCGGAGAAGCCAGGGACAAAGTTTAATGGGATCCAGGCCTGTCTCCTCAGCCCTCGCGGTGGATGCCTTGTTACTCCCTCTTCCCACCCACACGCAGCCCGTCCTCCCAGCCAGGGACACAGAATCTCAGAGGCTCCGGATCGCAAAATGCCCCTCCCCCGTCTCACCTGAGGTCCCCACTGGAGAATTGTTTTGGGATCTGATAGCTATGGAGTCGCCAAGGCTTCCAAAATAGGCCCCTCAGCGAAGGGCCTACGACGCTGAGTGCTGGGTGTCCTCCCTTGGGAGGACTGCCTGGAGGGGCAGAGGCACAGCCCAGGCTGTCCCAGGGCGCGTGGGAGCCGCGAGGGAGAGGACAGCGCTGGCTCCAAGGCCGATCTCTGCTGGGGGCGGGAAATGGCTGGGCAGAGCACCCGCCCCTCAGCATCTCGCTGGCAGCCTCGAGGCAGGGGCCCCGCTGCCGCCCTTTACATGGAAGACCGTCACCAAAGCTGCCACTAGCGCCACCCCACTCAGTCTCCCAGTGCCCCGGGGCAGTTCTAACAGGTTAAATGTGCAGGTTGCTGTTCCGAGGCCACGGAGGAGAAGATGGAAGATCGGGGTGTGGGGGGCAGCGGCAGGGAGTGGCTTGCTGCGCATTTCCCCAGCCCCCACCCCAAGTTCTGAAATGTCTAGGGGAGAGAGATTGCAGCGGGGGACGCGGTGGGGCTCCTGAAGGCAGAAATGCGTGTGCTCCCTTGCGTGCCTTTCCCCTGGTGACCCACAGACCCAGGGCTGTGCAGAGGCCGGTCTCAGTGCCGTCCGGTAACGGGGTGTGACCCTGGAGGGTGTGTGGTGTAGGAGGGCCTGTCGCGGGTGGTTGTGCTTGTCAGTTCCGATTTCACGAACTAGAAAATGCTTAGTGTTCCGATGTCAATAGACTCCGCTCCATCGTGGCCACCGTCCTTGGCTTCGGGAGTGCAGCCAGAGCTTGCCAAGGGCAGGCAAGGCCATTTCCCCTGTGCCCGAGTCCATCCGCGTGGCCGCACTGCCTGCCGTGCCTCCCTTAGGCCCGGCCCGGCCGGTACCGCCAGTGACCGGGGCTCCTGAAGACATCTTGGGCTTTCTAAGGTGGGATAAGGGAACTTTTCATGCACTGAGTTTTCTTTTTGGAAACACATTTTCAGCAATCCATTTTGAAAGAATTTTCATTTACAGCAGAAGTTGCCCATCAAGATGAGTCAGAGCTGGTTTTTAAGGAATTCTGCCTTCAGTGGGGGAGGGGGATGGGAAAACAGTCGTTTTTTGACTTTCAGACCTCCTCCCCACTTTCCCTTGTCTCAGGCACTCCAGACACTACTTGACCACACCAGTGCAAATGAAGTGATCGTGTGTCCAGTTCAGTCCACTGAGGGGAACTTCGATGTCCCTTTCAGTGGCATCTAGTGAAAAATGAAAAAATTTGAAACATAATTTTCATAGAAAAGGATGCATTCTGTGTTTTCCTTCTTAGGTATCAGAAAAATCTGGCAGATATATTCAACTTGTTCAAATAATTACAAATTAAAACTAATGTTTTTAAGTTGCATTGGCTCTTCTTAGGCTTAAAAATTAGATTATAACAAAGAATTTGTTCTCAAGTAGCTTGAGTGATCAGAGATACTTGGAATGTTTTAGTACCACAGATCTTTTTCTGTTCCTTGTGGCTTCACGAAAATTTAAGGTTAATTTAGATTTTTTGTTTTAAGTTCTTTTACTTGAGGCATAAATTGTAGCCCTTGTTCTTTTTGATAAATATGTCCTGGATTCATATAGTGTGAAATTTTATTCTTGTACATATCTTTAATTAATGTACTTGTAGAATTACTTCCAGTTTTGAATCACTTTACTGGATTTGTTTGTTTTGTTTTGTTTTTTTTGAAACAGAGTCTTACTCTGTTGCCCGGACTAGAGTGCCGTGGCGTCAGCCTAGCTCACAGCAACCTCAAACTCCTGGGCTCAAGCGATCCTCCTGCCTCAGCCTCCCGAGTAGCTGGGACTACAGGCATGCGCCACCATGCCCAGCTAATTTTTTCTATATATTTTTAGTTGGCCAATTAATTTCTTTCTATTTCTAGTAGAGACGGGGTCTTGCTCTTGCTCAGGCTAGTCTTGAACTCCTGACCTTGATCCATCCTCCCGCCTTGGCCTCTCAGAGTGCTAGGATTACAGGCGTGAGCCACTGCGCCTGTCCACTTTACTAGATTTTTTGTAAATAAATCACACCTTCTAGAATCTCCTCACTTATGTTTGTGTGTAATAGCAAAAAAGAAAAAGAAAGAAAAAGAAGAAGTTAAGCAATCTGTCCAAAATGGCACAGCTGGTGAATGGTCCCAAGTGTGGTCCACGCCAAGGCCTGCAGTGGCATCCTGCCACCTGCCCACAGCAGCCCTCCCAGAGCAGGGACCTGTTCCCGGTCATGGCCAAGTGTCACTGGCTGAGGGGAAGTGGGGGCAGGGGAGGAGAGTCTCCAGCTTCCAGAGGCCCAGGGACGGCCTCGACCTTCTGCGCACATCCCACCGAATCTGTGGGCATCCGGCCTCCCTCTCCTGCCTCCACCGAGCCTGAGGCGACCTCCCCTCCCTCCCGCTGTCCTGCAGAGATGGGACGAGGAGCTGGCCGCCTTCGCCAAGGCCTACGCCCAGCAGTGCATATGGGGCCACAACAAGGAGCGCGGGCGGCGCGGCGAGAACCTGTTCGCCATCACGGACGAGGGCATGGACGTGCCGCTGGCCATGGAGGAGTGGCACCAGGAGCGCGAGCACTACAACCTCAGCGCCGCCGCCTGCAGCCCGGGCCACATGTGCGGCCACTACACGCAGGTGCGGCCGGGCGGGGGACCTCTCCCTTCTCCGCAGGCAGCGTCACTTGGGGAAGGCGGCGCCCTTAGGTCCTTCATAAACCCGCCTTCCCCCTGCGGTTCCTGCGCCGTCTCCGCCTCTGACCACCCGGCTTCTCTACCATCTTTTGAAAACCTAGGCCTCCCTTCCTGGCCTTCTGATACTGAAGAGACCCAGGTTAGGTGGCACTGGGCCTGCGTCCTGGCCTCAGTCACGCAGAGCCGTTTGTCCTACAGCAGATGCCCCCAGCTCTGTCTCTTCCCTCACTGCCACTCTTTTGTCGTCTGCCGTGGTGTCTAATCTGCTGCTTCCAACCTGCCAGGAACTGATAAAGCAAATTGACAATTTTGTTTTTCTTTTGCTTTTAAAAACTATGTAAAAAATAAGAGCAAAGTATCCCCGAATGAAGGATTCCAGGAGGCTTCTGACAGCACTTCCTGTCCCTCACAGTCACCTTTTGCTGGTGGGGCCACATGTGGCCTTCAGATCCTTGAGTGTGGCCTTTTGACCAAATCCAAATTTTACAGAACACTCGGGGATCTGGAGGCCACAGGTTCCCTACTCCTTCTCCCCCCAAATGCTTATTTGACAGCAAATACAATACAAACGATAACATGACAAACAAAAGAGAAAGAAGCCCATTATCTTCCCGCCCACACCCACCAATTCCGTTTTTCAATACCTCTTTTGTGTGGTATTTTTACTCGTAATCTTTAGGGAAGGAAATCCCAACAGCACCCACCCATGTCAGGAAGTTGGGAAGGTCTGGCACCCTCCCTGCCCTCTTCCCCCTGCACCCCGCCGCCGCCACCTCCCTGTGTCCCCACCCATTTGCACTCTGGGGTCATTTCTACCTGTAAGATGCTCAACCGCGGTATCTGGTGGACCCTCAGCTGATTTGAGCAGTGATTGAGCAGACTGGGCCTAGAAATAGCAAGGAGAGGCTGCCGGCCTCACCCCATGGCAGCACATGACTTTTTATGTTTTATACTTAAGACAGAAGTCATTCTAGCAGCTAGGAGACCCACACCCAGGAACAGCCAGAGCAGGTCCCTGCTTACCGTGATTTGGGGAAAGTTCCATTTCCACAATGGCTCCCTGTTCCCTTTCTTGGACTTTTTTTTTTTTTTTTTTTGAGACAGAGTCTTACTTTGTTGCCTGGGCTACAGTGCCGTGGCGTCAGCCTAGTTCACAGCAACCTCAAACTCCTGGGCTCAAGCAATCCTCCTGCCTCAGCCTCCTGAGAAGCTGAGACTACAGGCATGCACCACCATGCCCGGCTAATTTTGACTATATATATATATATTTTTTTTTTAGTTGGCCAGTTAATTTCTTTCTATTTTTTAGTAGAGATGAGCTCTTGCTCTTGCTCAGGCTGGTTTCGAACTCCTGATCTTGGGTGATCCACCCTCCTCAGCCTCCCAGAATGCTAGGATTACAAGCGTGAGCCATCACACCCGGCCCCTTTCTTGGACTTTTCTTGTTGCTGATATCTAAGATTCTACCTTTTGAGATTCATTCCTTTGGATATGCCCCTTGTTTAAAATGCAAGAGCCTCTAGGAAGAGCTCACAGGAAAAATTCATGAGGATATATCAGAGCCCTGGAGAGAAAGATCTGAGAGGTAAAGGGCCTGGCGAAGTGGCGTGTGCAGTTGTCACGGGAGGGCAGACTGTTCTGGACAAACTCTCCCTTCCCTCCCCTATTCAGTTTTGTCCTGAAGTTCCTTTGTGGAAGAACAAAAAAAAAGAAGGAAAAACTACATAACAATGTTGTCCTGCAGCTGCACGTCAGGGACTTGGATCATAGGCTACGGGGTGCTTCCTGTCCCCAGCCACAGAAGGCCGGTACAGAGAGGGACAGCAGGAGGGGCCGTGCTGCCCAGTTCGGGGCTAAGCTGCTCGGTTTGCCCTGCTTCAGGTGGTTTGGGCCAAGACAGAAAGGATCGGCTGCGGTTCCCACTTCTGTGAGAAGCTCCAGGGTGTGGAGGAGACCAACATTCAATTACTGGTGTGCAACTACGAGCCCCCGTAAGTGCTGGGAGGAGGCGGGAGTGGGCAGGGCCAGGAGCCTAGGGTGGCCCTAGGGCGGCCCAGCACGTTGGTGGCGGGTAGGCAGCAGACCCCCCAGGGGCACTTCAGATAAGGGGTGTGTATGGGGGTGGGGAGGGACCTCTCCCCCAGCATCCTTCTCACCTCCTGCAGGGGGAACGTGAAAGGGAAAAGGCCCTACCAGGAGGGGACTCCGTGCTCCCAATGTCCCCCGGACTACCGCTGCGAGAACGCCCTCTGTGGTGAGTGGGGGTGGGCGCCGGGAGGGAGGCACAGAGAAGGGACGCGATGCCGACTGGGCAGGGACGGCGGGCGGTTGCCACCACCGGGGCCCTTGGCGGCTCACTTTGTCCTCCATGCACAAGCCACCGTGGCGCCCTGTCATTCCAAGCGACCGGACTCCAGCCCTTCCAATGGAGGGCAGCAGAGAGTCCGGGGGCTGCCGGGCAGGTGGGCGTGGCCAGGAGGAAGGGTCCGGGGGAGTGGGCGTGGCCAGGGCTTCAATGGGCGGGGCCTGCGGTGCGGTGGGCGGGGCCTGCGGTGCGGTGGGCGGGCAAGGGCAAGGGCAAGCTCTGCGCTGGAGAAGTCCCCCAAGAGTGGAAGTCCGCGTGCAGAGGACATTTGGACAAGGAAGTGGGCGGAGGAGCAACTGTGTCATTAACAAGAAGTAATATTATTATCCATGAGGGACATCCGCTGGAGAGGTGTGTGTGTTCGTGTGTCCTGGTAGGCCATTTGGTGGCCTCACCTCGGCCGCAGTGGGGTGAGGAATATGGGGTCCTGCTGGCAGCATGATGCCAGTTCTTGTCTACCTTATCAGAACCCGTCGCAAGCTCAGAGGATGCTCCAGCCTTGCCCGGCCTGGTCACCGAGGCACCATCCTCCCTGGCACCTGAAGCCCCAGACTCTAGGAAAATGGGTACTCCTTCTTCCGCGCCAACAGAGGTCTCAGGCTCCCTGGAAACCAAGGCTCTGCCGGCTGTAGGAACCGCGGCCCCAACTTCCTTAGAAACGGAAGGCCCCTCCTCAGTGGCAACAGAGGCCCCGCCTTCTGTAAAGACAGAGGTCCCTTCAGTCTCAGCAACTCACGGCCTGCCCTGGTTGGATGAGGAGCCCGCTACCTTCCCCAAATCCACCCATGTTCCTATCCCCAAATCAGCAGACAGCGTGGCCAGCAAAACCAGAGCACCCTCCGTGAGCCCAGAGAAATCTCTGCACCCCAAGATGTCCCCAACAGGGACAGGGGACCCCCTACCCTATGCCCAGGAAGAGGCTGAGGCTGAGGCTGAGGCTGAGGCCGAGTTGCCTTCTAGTGAGGTCTTGGCCTCAGATTTTCTAGCCCAGGACAAGCGAGGTGAGCTGCAGGCCATACTGAACCACATGGGGCACACCTCCTCCAAGTCCCTGCCCAATTTCCCCAATACCTCTGCCACCGCTAATGCCATGGGTGGGCGTACCCTGGCCCTGCAGTCATCCTTGCCAGGTAAGGCCTGTAGCATCTGCCCTACCCTCCTGGCCCAGCATGTCCGCATGCTGCCCCCAGCGGAGGTGGTCTGAGCCTGGCGTGGCATGTGCCCTGAGTAGGAGCTTCCCCTGGCTGCTGCCCACCGTTTGCATGGCGGGGCAGGGGGAGGTCGGGCACAGCCATCCTCAGGCTGAGGCAAAGCCTCTCTCTTCCCGCAGCTGCCGAGGGCCCTGAGAAGCCTGGCGTCCAGTCGGGGGTGAGCTCGGGCCCTCGCCACGTATGGGACCCTCTCCCGGGACTACTGCTATTGCCTCCCCTGGTGTTGGCTGGAATCTTCTGAAGGGGACACACTCAAAGGCAAGGCGTGGTGGGGGCCCTGGCCTTGTGCCCACTCTGGATTGTCTTTCTCCAAGTGAGAGGCCGCCGCTTCCTGGGCAGGTTCTGCCCCGTGGCCCAGCAGCCCCTTCCCCCAGCTTCTGGCCAGATTCCAGGCAGCGCTCGTTTCCGCAGGAGGCTTCCGCAGGGCCGGGCCCTGGGACTGCCCCAGGAGTGCCTCTGCCTCTGGGGAGGCCCAGCCCTCAGCTGGCCGCAGGCTGTCCTCGGTGGGGCTCCTGTGCCCCCCGCCTGCTCTCCCTGAGACAATCTCAGGCTTCCCAGGAGCCCGTGTCCTTCCCAGTGCTGGCCTCTTCGAGCTGTCTGAGTCCAGGGCTGTCCCCAGAAGTGTCTCTTGCCTTCCCAGGGTGAAGAGATCAGCTGTCCTCCTGCCACCTTCCCCACCCTGTCCCCAGCCCCTCAAACAAGATGCTGTGTGGCAAAGGCCCTCTGGAAGGGAAAGGCTGCAGGGCATGAGCCTCGTCCGTCCGTCCATCCGTCCGCCCACAGCATCCTGGAGGCTCAGGCCGGGCCTCCTCGGACCCCGAAGACTGCAGGGCCAGCCCTCCTGCCCCTCCCACCCGCGTCCTGGGGCTGAGGCAGCGGGGGTTCTGGGGCGCTCACTGCCTGCCTGGCCTGGGCTGTCCCCGAGTGCCTGTGTCGCTGGGGAGGGGGTTATACAGGGTAGATGAAGGACAAGCGCCACCCAAGTGGGGCCGTATGGGTGGGGGTCTGGGAGGAGGGAAGGGAAGCAACCCTTGACTCTTGAATAAAAGCCTGTCTGGGATTACCCGAGTCTCAGTGCCAGTGACGGGCGGGAGCTGCAGGACAGCTGGTTAGGAGGCTCCGCTCAGAAGAGGCTCAACTCTCCCCCTTACCAACCTGTGACAACCGTGCCTTCTCTCACATCCTTCTCCCCCAAACACTCCATTTAGTGTCTTCTCTTTGGGCCACCCTTCCTTTCCTTCCTGTGGCCCCTCACCCCCACCCCTTGACCACAGGTGGCCAGTAGTAAGGAGGAAGGACTGAGGGAAGGCCAAGGGTGCTGGGCTGACTCTCCCAGCTTCAGGAGTTACCAGAGGGGCCTGGGTGGGTTTGGGGCCCAGGATCAAGGCGTGGTGTGCTGCCACCCAGGTCTGTCTGGGACACAAGGTCACAAACGCACCACAGCAAGGCTCTGCCCACCCCTGGTGCTTGGAGGAGTCCGAGAAAGGGCTCTGGAGTCCCTAACACCCCCTGGGGGAGCACAGCAGGACTGTCCCAAAGTGCTGAGGACCAGGAAAGCACAAGTGTGTGGGGGGAAGGGAAGGGGGAGCAACAGCAGTGGCTGGGGGTGGCGAGGGGCATAGCAACTGTCTCTAGGCCAAAGCAGGAGGGGGAGCAGTTAGACAGGACGCCATCCAAGTCAGGCTTGGGCTGGGAGCTGATCTATTACCAAGGAGATCACTCCTCACTTTTTCTTTCTTTATACATTTTTTTTTGTAGGTCTATCAAGATATAACTCACATAAAATTCATCCATTTAAAGCATGTAACTTGGTGGGGCATGGTGGTTCGCGCCTGTAATCCTAGCACTCTGGGAGGCCGAGGCAGGAGGATAGTTTGAGGTCAGGAGTTTGAGACCAGCCTGAGCAAGAGTGAGACCCTGTCCCTACTAAAAATAGAAAAATTAGCCGGGCATGGTGGCGTGTGCCTATAGTCCCAGCTACTCAGGAGCCTGAGGCAGGAGGATCACTTGAGTCCAGGAGTCCAAGGCTGCAGTGAGCTATGATGACACCACTGCACTCTAGCCTGAGCAAGAGTGAGACCCTGTCTCAAACAAACAAAATGACCCCCAAAGTATGTAATTCAATGGTTGGATTGTATAACCATCACAATTTTAGAACATTTTCATCATCCCAAAAAGAAGCCTCCTCCTCATTAGCAGTCACTCCCCATTCTTCTCCAACCTCCCCAGGCCCAAGCAACCACTAATCTATTTTCTATCTAAGTGGATTTGTCTATTCTCAATATCCCATTTAAAATTGTTGGTTTTTTTGAGATAGGGTCTCTCTGTTGCCCAGGCTGGAGTGCAGTGGCACGATCACAGCTCGCCACAACCTCACACTCCTGGGCTCCACCGATCCTCCCACCTCAGCCTCCCAAGAGGCTGGGACTACAGGCTTGTGCCACCACACCCAGCTAACTTTTTCTTTTATGAAGAGACAGGGTCTCACTATGCTGCCCAGGCTGGTGTTCAACTTCTGGCCTCAAGCTATCCTCCCACCTCGGCCTCCCAAAGTGCCAGTATTATAGCCTCCATATAGATTCCTGACGAATTGTGTATGTGGTCTCTTATGACTGCTTCCTCCACTTGGCATTATTTTCAGGGTTCATCCCTGCCATAGCATGGATCCAAACTTTATTCCTTTTTATCGCCAAGTAACATTCCACCCTATGGAATATGTTTACCCATTCATCATTGGACATTTTGGTGGTTTCTGCTTTTGAGCTACTATAAATAATGCTACCATAAACATTCATGTACCAGTTTTTGTGTGAACCTAAGTTTTCAATTCTCTTGAGTATGTACCTGAGTATTCACGAGGGGGTTCCAGAGGCCCGTCCAGCTTCACCCATCAGGGTGAGGTTTCCCGGGAGGGGAGGAAGGTGACGGGCTCCCCACCGGGACACTCCTGCTTCCATCTCCCCTCCTGCCCAACCCCACCCACTCCCCTCAGATGCGGACCCAGCACTCTAGTTTCCAGGACTGACAGGGAACATGCCCAGTGCCGGGGGGCAGACAGACAGACAGAGACTCAGCCCTCAAAGACGGGAGGGTCCCACTAACAGGCAGCGTTTAACACATATACACGCATTTAAATGATGGACTGGAAACTTGCTTTTTTGTTAGATAAAAAACCTGCACTTCACTCAACCAAAAATCGGGAGCGTATCAAGAGATGTACATGCCATTTCTGGTGTGGAAGAGACCCTGGCAAATGAAGTTGAGAACCCCAAATTGCAAAGTCCCAGGAAATTACTTGGGGACAGCGCTGGCCCTCAGAGGTGTGGGAGGATGTGGCTGTCTGAGGGGCTCCAGGGACGCAGGCGCCCCACATCCGGGGCCACAGGAAGCAGTCAGTGCACAAACAGGATGCATGTGGAGCAAAAGGAGGAAGGGTTACCTCAGGACAGTGGCCAGTGCTGTGGGATAGCGTTCCTCGCTAGCGGGCGCGAGGCGGACCCGTGGCGGGCCTGGGCGCCCACGGCCTTGCTTCCCCACAGTCCTGGCCGCCCGCCACGTGCTGTCCTTCCCACCGCTGTAACTGTCTGAGGCGCCGCCCCAGAAAAGCACACGTGGGCTGCAAAGTCACGAGACCTTAGTAGCCTCAACCAATGCACGTCTGCAGCCACGCGGGCGTGCTTGTGCGCTCTGGGAGACGGGGACACGCAAAGTGAAACTGCCCCTGAGTCAGCTGTTACTGGGCCACTGGGAAGAACCAGCTGTGCTCAAGCATTTCGGGGGCCTTCCCTCTGAGGGTGACCCAGCCACACCTGTGGGGGAAGTGTGACCAAAGGCAACTGACCCCCACTCTCACAGCCAGGACCGCTAGAGCAGGCAGAGAAACACTTGGGGGAACCCAGCTAGACCTCAAAACATCTGTAAGTTTTGTCTGTTTACAGACCCCCGTGCTGGGCAGAAGTGAGGTCTGCCCTTTCTGCTGTAACCATATGGCCACCACACCACACGACTCTTGTAGATCTCCCCTCAAGACTGACCTACACCAAGCCCTGCCCCCACTGTCCCCAGGCTGGGCAGCCCTGAGCCCTGTCGCTTACAGCCCTTCTCACACGCACAGAAGGGCTGAGAAAGACCCTGCAGACGGACAGTTTTTTAAGTTCGCAAAAATAAGAGACTCCCCACAGAACTCCAAATCACCACCAAGACATTTATTAGAGGGAGACAGGGTTGAATCTTACCATGAACTTTTAAACTGGGCAGGACTAGAGACACTGATCTGCCTAACCTCTGGGTGTTCACAGCTGCACAGGGAACCGGTCCTGCACATGATGCGTCATTAGGAAACACAGAAGCATTAGATGAGGGGACACATTCTGAGTAGTCACATGATTTCCCACTGAGAAGAGGTGCTGCCTTCACATCAGAAACATAGTGTTGAGAAAAACGAAGGGAGAACCTCGAGTTAGCCTCCCCACACAGGCCTGGACGTGATGGCGGCCTCGCGAAGGGGGTCACGTCCTATTTACAAAGCGGAGAGTGGCGCTCCCAGCTGAGCTGCAGGGTGGGGGCGGGGCGGCCTCAAGGGGTTGGGGGGTGGGACCTGACCCATCAGCCTTTCCCCATCCGACCTGGGCCTCGACCTGGGCCTCCACGAGCCATTCGCTCACCCCCTGCACAAGGCAGACTCCGCAAACATGGGAGTAAAGGGATTCTGCCCCCATCCCCCACCCCACCCGCCTTCCCAGGTCTGGCAGCTGACCCAATCCACCAGGCACAGCCCCACCCAGCCCAACCCCACATCTGGACAGATACACGGCAAATATGGAAACGGAAGCCCAGCTGTGCTGGGGCACATCTAGTGTTGCTGGGTTGGTGTCGCCTTACAGTGGCCCAAGGAAATCAGGCCTCATCCATAGTGGCCAGGTTGAGACAGCATGTTTTTTTTAGATGGTTCAGGTTACTCCAGGGCAAAGCACGATCCTGATGACACTCGGCGGAAAAGCAGGCTGGAGCCTCGGAAGAGCTGGCCCTGGATTGGAAGGAACAGCAGGGCAGTGAACGGGAGGCCATGCTTCCTCAGCCCCCGGGAGAAAGGCCAGTGTAAGCAAAGAAGGGCAGGGGCTCAAAGACCCAGGGCCGGGGGTAGAAAGCAAGGTCAGAATCTGTTCCCCTGAAGCAGAGGGAGCAGCTCATTTCATGTCCCGGGGTGTCCAGCGCCTGTGGGCTACTCAGTAAGAAACTCCCAAAGAGGAGACTCACTGCTCTCTGGTTTCAGAGCCAAGGGGCCTGGGGCTGTTCCAGCACACACAGGAGGACATGATGTACACAGACCGAGCAGGGGTGCTGGGGAGAACTGCGCCCGTCTCTTCCTCCCGGCTTCCCCCACCCATCTCTTCTCAACCTCGAGGCCAGGCAGCATGCTGGCGCCTCCCAGACCACTGCCTCATTTTACTACGAGGCAACGCAAGGCCAGGGAAAGCACGGTCCTGCCCTGGCATCCCTGACCACTGGGCCCGAGAGCTCCAGCCAGCAAGAGGTGGCTTGAGCAAAACACGAGAGCCCAAGGCTGGCATCGCTGCCAGGTCCCCACGTGGCCCAGCTCCACTGGCCAGACCTGCTGGGCCCGGGGACGTCCTACAGGAGGGAGAGGACGGCCTCCAACACCCTAGCTCCCCTGACCACCCAGGAAGTCAGCTGAACTGGCCTGAGACCTCGCACTGTCGGCCCACATTACTTGAAGGCTAAGAAATTCTTGGGCTGTACCACCTACCACGTGGGCCAGAGCTCCCTTATCCTTGTCCTAAGAGTCGTTAAGACTCAAGAAAAGGAGATCTTGTTGATGTATAATTTTTAAATAAATCCAGATTTAGCCTCTTCAAATCCTTTCTGAAATAAGGTGAGAAGAAAATTTAATTAATTTTCTTTTTTTTTTTGAAACAGAGTCTCACTCTGTTGCCCAGGCAAGAGTGCCGTGGCATCAGCCTAGCTCACAGCAACCTCAAACTCCTGGGCTCAAGCAATCCTCCTGCCTCAGCCTCCCGAGTAGCTGGGACTACAGGCATGCGCCACCATGCCCGGCTAATTTTTCTTATATATATTTTTAGTTGTCCAGATAATTTCTTTCTATTTGTTAGTAGAGATGGGGTCTTGCTCTTGCTCAGGCTGGTCTTGAACTCCTGAGTTCATACAATCCTCCTGCCTCGGCCTCCCAGAGTGCTAGGAATACAGGCATGAGCCACCACACCCAGCCTTAATTAGTTAATTTAATTTTTTATTGAGACAGGATCTTGCCATGCTGCCTGGGTTAGAGCGCAGTGGTGTCATCACAGCAACCTCAAATGCCTGGCCTCAAGCCATCCTCCTGCCTTGGCCTCCCAAAGTGCTAGGATTACAGGCATGAGCCATGGCACCGGCCCTGAAAATTCAATTTAGATGCCTTATGCCAAGTGGCTACATTTTCTTTATCTACCCTACTCACAACATTAGATTCCATGAAACCCCTCTCTTTCCACACAACGTAGAGTGCACAAAACCATTTCACCTGACGGATTCGGTGAAGAACAGGAAAAGCCTCCTCCCGACAAGCCCACTTACCTGCATACTCAGGTACTTCCAGCAGTGAATCCAGGATTTGAACACTGGGGAGTAAGGGGGGAGCCCAGCCTGCAGCCTGCCGAGGAAGGAGAATGACGCATGTTGGACCGGGACAACGTGGGGAGAAAGGTCAGCCGGGGGAGAGGAGCCCTCACCAAGCAACGGCTAGAAGCTGCCACCCTCCTACATCCCGAAACCATGGACTCGCCCTCGCCCCAAAGGGGGCTGGTGACTCCCAAAGGAAGTCAGGGTGCCTGGCAGGCCGAGCCCACACACAGAGCAGGTGGGAGGGGCAGAGTGCTGGAAGGGCTCAGCGGGTCCCTCCCGCAGCCTTAGCAGGTGCTCGTAGACGGTGCACACGTACCCACAGTTGTTCACAGCCATGAGATCGCCGACCAGCAGGAAGGGGTAGGTCAGCATGCTCACTGCAATCTGGAACCCAGAGAGACCTGAGCGTGAGGGACCCCACCCAGGCCCAGGGAGCAGGGACACCCTACACCGACCCCCGGTTACCAGCCACCACCAGGGCTGGCCTCCTGGGCGCCGCCTAGGCCCACAGAGCAACGGGAAGGGCAGCGGGCTGCACTCACCCCCATCACAAATTTGGTGTAGCTCCGGATGGCCAGCGCCTGGCTGAACTGAGGAGACAGAAAGGAAGAGCGGTTTGCCTCAGGCACCGCAGGACGCAGGTTTCAGACCCACGGGCTCGCCCGCCCGCCACACCCTCCCCGCTCAGCTCCTCTCCTCACACGCACACCGCACACGCGCCCTCCCTTTCGGGGCCACAGCTGCTTCCACGGCCTCACGGAGCCCAGAGAGGACACAGGAGGCAGAAGTGGGTCACTGGACTGACGGGGGTCCATGAAGGGGCAGGTAAGTGGCATCGGCCACTGCTGGCCCGTGCAGCCCCAGCTGTGTCTGCCTGACACCATCAGGGCTTGGCCGTCGTCAGGGCCCAGAGAGCGCTTCCCGGATGGAAAGACACCCACCCTGACACCCACAGACAGAGTCCTGGCCTGCGGCTCATGGAAAGGGAACCTTGGGCTTACTGCCACCCCGCCTCATTACATTTTTCCCCCTTCACACCCGAACTCTTGAAATTCTACTTTGCCTAGGAAACAGCCCCTAGTGAGGAAGGGTGACTACCCGTCCCTCAGCTTCCTGTGGCTGGCCATCCCACCGGTGGACACCCTGGAGCCCAGGGCTGATGTGCTCAGCTGTCTGCTGAGGAGTCCTGGCAGCCTCATCTCAGCCTTTGAGCCACACGCAGAAAAGCGTGGGAAAATGCTTCCGGGGAGGCGGCTGGCCGCTGTGCTGCGGACACAGGCACGGCGGCTCACCGAGACTGGAGCGGCCAGCCAGCGGCACGCTCCCTGCCCCCTCCCCGCCCCAGACAGCCCAGTCGTCCCAGCCTTGCTCCACACATGACAACAGCAGCTCACCCAGCCCAGGCCCCTGAGAAGGGACAGAGCTGCAGGTACATACCACTGTGACTGCAAATGGGATGGGTTCCCATGGAGCCTCTGATGTGCTTACGTGCAAAGGCCAGTTAAGACTCACCTACCCAAGCCAAATGCCGGTCTCCCTGGGGGCAGAGGCTCTCCCCCGGAGCAGGGCATTCCTCACCACACAGACACGTGCCCAGACACACCCCAGCCCCGGAGTCGCTGGCCTGGGGCCCAGACACAAATGCGCGTGGCCCGCAACCCCACTCCCGGCCCAGGCCCCTCACCTATCCTCCCGGCTAGGCAGTCAGCGCTGCTGAAGTGTCTACTAGGAACCCCCAGCCAGGGAACGCTGCTCCCTGACTCTCAGCTTGGTTCAGGCAGAACCCACCAACCTATCAGGTACCCAGACACCTTTCTTCAACCAGCCCCTTATAAAAGGACCAAGCCTTCCTGTGCCTGACCCGACCCACTGAGAGGTCTGTGCATGCCAGGCTGTGTAGACGGCAGCTAACGAAACAGCAGGGAAAGCCCGGATGGTACACTTCCTGGCTGATCTGAAAACACTCAAGGTGCTTCAAGGGGGGAAGCACCCTCATCCTGGGTAGGGAAAGACCTAGTTCCAGCCCTGTAGCATCCAGCTGAGGGACTCTAGAGCCCATTTAGTCTCTGGGTCTCAATTTCTGTATACGGGACATTATACCTATCCTGTTCGCTTCACAGCTAGGGTGCCGTCAGGATCAAAGGTCATAATGTTCACAAAAGGGTTTTAAATAGCATAAGACATGACGCAAAAGTCAAAGGATTGTCGTTATTGGTCTATCTTCTGATTTCCTGAGCCCTAATTGGGTCACGGCCTCAAAGTAGCCTCTCGGCAAGCTGGGGTCTGTTTCCAAAGCTGCCCAAGACAAGCATTCCCCAAATTCCTCCTAGGTCTGGGTACCAATCTCATCTCTTGAGGCCATTCTCCCCTGAAACAAAGCTGGCTCCAGGGACAACCAGAGGTCCTCTCTTGCCCTCAGGACCCAGTGCTCAGAATCCCAGAGTCCTCGAATCTGCCCCAAACCCTGGGCATCAGCAGTACACGGAAAGAAGGACAAGTCCTTGCTCCAACCAACCTGGGAACCTGGATTCTGGTCGTTTCCCAGCCCCCCTGGGGTGTCACTCACGCTGTCATCCACCAGGTAGGCATTGATGAAGTGGGCCAGCAGGTTACAGCCCCACAAGAATACCACATCGCCCAGGAGGTGAGGGATTAAGCCGCTAAAAAACAAGGTGAGCGAATATGAGCAGGGGAGGGAGGGGGCACCGTTCCTGGGGGCTCCACACCCAGGAGGCAGGCGGGACGTTCCAAGCTCAAAATCTCCATGTATCCAGCAGCACAGCGTCAGGCAAGGAGCCTGCAGGGGTTATGCACGCTGGGGAAGTGGTGTTCCCTTTCCCAGGGGGAGGTGCTACATGTATGCTACAAATTAGTTAACGGTCTCACAAGCAGTTTTCAAACCACAGAAGCCAGGCATCAAGATATGAATATTGGGCTGGGCGCGGTGGCTCACGCCTGTAATCCTAGCACTCTGGGAGGCTGAGGCGGGAGGATCGCTCAAGGTCAGGAGTTGGAAACCAGCCTGAGCAAGAGTGAGACCCCGTCTCTAATAGAAATAGAAAGAAATTAATTGGCCAACTAAAAATATACAGAAAAAATTAGCTGGGCATGGTGGCGCATGCCTGCAGTCCCAGCTACTTGGGAGGCTGAGGCAGAAGGATCGCTTGAGCCCAGGAGTTTGAGGTTGCTGTGAGCTAGGCTGATGCCACAGCACTCTAGCCCGGGCAATAGTGTGAGACGGTCTCAGAAAAAAAAAAAAAAAAAAAAAAGATATGAATATTGCCAAGTCTGGGATTTTCAGTTATAGGTTATGAAAGAGTGCCTACACTTTGGTAATTTTCTCCTGGCTCTTTACCTAACCAACTTTAACAAAACACACTGCTCCATGCATCTGTTCTCTTCACCCCTGGAGTGTTCCACTGAAGACATTCTATGCAAGCGTTTGGAAGGAGAGTTAATTTTTAACAGCTCTTGTAAGCTGGTAAGGAAGGTCCCTAAGACACAGTGTTGAGGGCAAGAGCCAGGCCCCATGTGCTGCTGGCGTGCTGTCAAATGTGTCTGCTTGCTGAGCTGTGCAGGCCCTCGGGAGGCTCTCCAGGAGGAAAATGGCTGTCTCCTGGGAGGGGAAGCAGAATTATTATTTCTGAATTTTTAAAAATCTATTATAAAATGTTTGAAAAGTTCAAAAGGATACATGTAACACATCTATGAAGAATACTAATAAAATGAACCTCTGTGAATTTCCAATCTTGTTGCCTCCACCTGTGCTCAGACTGACTCTGCACCATGCCCTTTGGTGCGTTCTGAGCATTGTAACATGTATGTGTATCACCTGGCCCAAGATGACGCAGGGAAAGAGAACCCAACAGGTAAGCATCTGCTTTGTGGAAATCCTATTCACACACCAGAACAGAACCACACAATGTGAAAAATGCCACAGGTGGCGACGTGTAGTGTTTCAAAATCTGATGTCCCAGGTACATGGGCAAATATTTATTCATGTGTATTTGTATATGCATATGCACGTATATACATATGTATGTACATAAATCAGAGTTTCTCAATCTTGGCAATGTCAACATTTGGTGCTGAATAACTCTTTGTCGTGTTCTTTGTCTAGAATATTTAGCAACATCCCTGGCCTCTACCCACTAGATGCCAGTTGTGACAACCACAAGATGTTTGTCCCTGGGGAACAAGATCAACTCCTATTGAGAACCTGTATATGCATACATACACACACACACACACACATACACACACACACACACACACACACACCCCTTCACAGAGTAGTCTCCTGGTTTAACAAGGAATCACAAATAAAAACATTTGACATATTAGAAAACCACAATATAAAGACTTGTTTGTATGGGGCCCAATATCTAGTATACTACGTAAATAATAGCATGTATGCCACTGTCTAGACCTTAAAAAGGCAAAACAAAAATCACACACAACTGATCAGGTGCAGTGGCTCACACCTATAATTCTAGCACTTTGGGAAACTGAGGCAGAAGGATTGCTTGAGGCCAGGAGTTCAAGACCAGCCTGGGCAACATAGCAAGCCCGTTTCTACAAAAAAAAAAAAAAAAAAATTTAAAAACTTAGCTGGGCGTGGTGGCACACACCTATAGTCCCAGCTACTTGGGAGACTGAGCCAGGAGGATCGCCTGAGCCCAGGAGTGGAGGTTGTAGTGAGCTACGATGATATCACTGCACTGCAGCCTGGGTGACAAAGCGAGACCCTTAAAAAAAAAAAAACAAAACCCCACACACTTGTCAAGCCTGGCTTCTGGGTTCTTCCCCTCTGAGATTTCTTCTTTCTAAACCAGTCTCTTCAGCATGAGCTCTCTTTATAGATGAGGCAAGCCGGACGTGGGACAACAAAGAGTGCAGGGGGTCTGTGGCCCTCAGGAGACTGTGCTTGGCCAAAGGGGCAGCCCCTGGGCTCCAGCCAGTGGCTGCTCTACAGAAACACTAGCCCAGCAGGGCCAGATTTTCTGACTTTTCAAGAGAAGCCAGAAACATGGATTTTGGTGTGAAATATCTGAAATGTTAAATGTCGACAACTAATTTGTCAGAAATGCTATGTCAAACAGAATCCACTGGCTGGAATCAGCCTGTGAGCTGCCAGAACTCAACCTGCAGTCCAAGACACAGATTTCCAGTCATTTTCTAGCAGTAAGCCAAGGGCGGCTATGTAGTGCCCAGCTCGTGAAGTCCAGCTCCATGCCCTGCCCCAGCCCCAGGGCAGAGGGATGGGGCCTGGAGGGGGCTGGCCAGTCCATCTCCCAGTGTGCTGGACAAACCGTTCTGTTTTTAGGGGAGCCACGACCTGAAAAGAGCTGGGCAGCTTTGGTTGTGATGATCCGTAGCTCAGCCGGGCTACGGAGCTCTGTGCAGCTGACTGCAGCCACTGAGGCGGGCGGAGCCCTGCGGTTGGTCTGGGGTCAGCAGCTTGGCCTGAGAGGTTGAGGACACACTGGTTAGTGCAGCCATGCCCCGTGGCCTGTTATGGGGTGCATAAACTCACGTACACGAAGAATCCCAGCAGCCCCTCCTCTTTGAAAATCTTCCCAATGGAGCTCAGCACGCCACTGTGAAGAAGGCAATACAGGGAGACAAGGTCACCGGGTCACCAAGCAGAGTCGACCAGCCCTGCTTAGACCCAGCCAGGCCTGGCCAGGATGGGAAGGACTGTTACCCAGAAGAAGCCAAGTAGAAAAACAGAGAGCTCTTGTCTGGGGTAAGGACGAGTTTACACAGTTCACGGACTGGGGAAAGGCAACCCCCCACGGGGCGGAAGACCTAGCGGTGCCTGCTGCTCTTCTGTGGGATCTGCAGTGTAGGAACAAACCTCCCAGCTTGGGCCACCACTGCAAAGGCAGCATGCCCAACTCCTACCTGGCCTCTGCTTATCTCTGGGTAAACAACCTGCTGGCAGAGGAGCCCGTGTGCCCACCCAAGACCGAGAGCAGGAGGCGGTGGTGAGTGGAATCGCCTTCCCAGAGGGCAGGGAAGGAATGCAGGGCCCTGCAGCAGGGGGCCCTGGAAGCAGCCTGGGAAAAGGCACCTGCCCCAGGGAGCCTGGGGACTAGTGCCCTGGCCACTGCACCTGTTAGACATCAGAGGACAGGCTGTGGTGTCTAAGGTATGAAGTGCCAAGGAGGCGCAATCTCAACCTCTGTGAACAGTGGCTAGAAACATCAGCTGGCCTGAACGGAGGGAATGCACAAAGACAGTGGGCGCTAAAGCGCTGGCTGGCCCTGGTCCAGGGGCACGCCAGCCCTGCCAGGTCCATGGCCACTCTCAGAACAGGGGCTGGGCCCACTGTGGTTCTCAGCCAGATTATTCTCTCCGGGTCCCATCTACCAACCTCACACTTCGGACTGGGGGAACGTGCTAATTTCCCCACTAGTGAACCCAAAATGAGGCACCAGCACTGTGGCAGCCAAGCTTCCTGGGGTGGTGGCCCCACAGGACAGCTGCAGAAAACAGCTGACCCCAGAAAATTAGAGTCATAGAGAGGAAGGGTGACCTGGGTGTGTTCTCCTGCCACGTGCCTCTAGGATGCGCCTCCCGCCCTGCGCTGGCCTCAGAGGGGCAGGGAAGGCAAAAGTGCCCTGGGAAGGGGCTGTGTCAAACATGTGCCCCCAGCACCCGCTCAGGGCCACGCGCAGAAGATCTAGGCCTGATGTACGATTAGGGGGATAAGCCATAAGCCCACAGGGCGGGCAGCTGCTTCACAGAGGACAAAGGGACGAAAGGAGCTATGAGCCAGGTTCTATGACAGCTGGAGAAATCATTAGGGCATAACCTCGGGGGTTCAGGAGGGGACCTCAGCTGACTTCTAAGTGGCAGAATCAGCCCTGGTGCCAGAATTCATAAGCCAAGCAGACTCCAATCCTACTCACCCTCTGCAACGCATCTAGGCCCAGCGAGGGCGGCCCCTGACGAGAGAGGGAGCAGAGGACGTGGCCCAGACACAGGCCACGGAAGCCACCAGCATATCCCTCAGAGGCCAGGAGCAGGCTGGGCTCCCACAGAGGACCAGGGCAGAGAAGGCATGGCCACTGAGCCCCGCATGGCCTGCCCTGGCAGACCCTGAAGGGTAAGAGGGCCACTCCTGCCAGCCAGGAAGAATCACTCACCTGTACTTGGCCTCCCGTCCCACAAACTGGACCATGCAGCGCATTGAGATAACTGGAGAAGAAAGAAGACATACAGAGGTGACATAGTGGCCAAAGCCCACAACACCTGAACTACAGGGTGCGCAGTGCAGAGTGGCCACTGGGCAACGTGGCCTGTCAGAGTGCAGGAGAGGAAGAAGGCCTCTGGGATTCCCTGTCACACCCATGACCACAGCATTCCATCTTCTCGGCCTGGAAAGTCCCAGCTCCCTTTGGAAAAGACTCATGGCCAGTCTCTCCTCAGCGGGGTTCCAGGGGAATACCCCCCACCCCTGCCACCTCCCAGTCGTGCTGCCCCTGCCTATCAACAGTCCGCAAGGGGGGGCCCCACCTCCCACCCACACTGGACTGTGGCTTAAGTGCGGCCTCCCACGGGGCGGCTCACCGTGCAGGGGATGCGCCAGCATGCGGGACACGCACTGCATCATCATCTCGTAGGACGTCTGGAAGAGAGCAGAGGGCGGGGACTCGGTCGGGCCTGTCTCTGGAACTGGCACTTGCAGGGAACGACTAGTTGTTTTGGGGAAAACCGAGATCCCTCAGCTCTCACATGGGCGCGGTCCACCAAGGATGGCTCCCCTTGCTGCCCACCCTTAATCCCCTCCACCCGGAAGTGCTGCCAGGTCCCAGGCTAGGCCCAGTGGCTGCTGAGAAGGCTCTCTGGGACTCCCAGTGTCCAGGCTGGGGCTCCTTCCAAGTGCCACCCCATCCACGCACACACAAGGACCCAACTCCGTTACTGTTCAGTGACCTCCATTACTGTCCAACTCAGGGATGAGAACATTCGGACCCTCCCCACACCTGCCCCGCTCCAGCTCTCCATGCCCACCTCCTTCACTACTTTCCTCAGCGAAGTCTTCATGTCATCCTTGTTGGAAACCTGCTCAATCTCATCTGGAGGGAAAACCTGAAACCAAAAGCAGAGGAGGGCCCAAAGCAGAGTATAGCTGTGCCTCTTAATACAACTCTTAAGGGACACTGACGGCAGGAACCCGCTCCTAATATTTTCCCTGCAGTGTCCACAAGCTGGGCCTGCTTCAGGTAACCCCAGCCCCAGAATTTGGAGGAAAAGAAAGCCACTGTTGGTGTCATAGCTGTGGGAAAGAGGGAGGACTGTGGGGCATGAGCCCTCCCACGTGCCAGAGTGGGGTTCCATCAGCTCAGGAAAGGGAGGCGGGACCAGGCACATGTGCTGCCTCTGGGGGTGGCCAGCGTGGGGCAATCTCAGGCAACTGCTCCTGGCTTCGCCACGAGCTTACCTTCTTCATACTGCCCCGGGTCACGGTGGAGAGCGCGTTGGACATCAGCCGGGGGCTCAGGCCTCGGAACAGCCCTATCTTACCATCCACTTGCACAATGTACTTGGCTACAAGCAAACAGAAGTGGCAGGGTCACGTCCAGCCCAGTGGCCCCACTCCTGGGTCACACACACACCCAGACCAGATGCAGCCTGTCCTTCAAGTAACTGCCACCTAAAGCACGGGAGGGAACAGCATCCCGGACCTGGCGGCAGTGAGGCCCCGATTCCCAAATGTCTTCTAGCCCCTGTTTCTTGTTGTAAAACCTTTAAAACATATTTTTGACAAACAAATTCATAGATTTTCTTTTTTTTTAGCTTTAAAACTCTACTTGGCAAACTCAACTATGATTTCTCAACTCAACAATTTAAGTGCTGTAACCCAGAAAATAATTCTATTGCTTATAAATTATGTTTTTATCTGGGAAAAGAAAAAAAGGAAAGAGAGAGAAAGAGAGAGAGAGAGAGAGAGCGAGACAGAGAGCGCGCGAGCGTTCGCGAGAGCGCCCAGAGACAATGATGCCTGCAACCTAAGGGAGGACTCAAAAGGAAAGGAAGGGCTCCCAGGAGACGTGCTCAAGAACGTCCCCAGAACACGCCCACAGCCAGGTCAGTCCCTACCCATTACACCAGCTGGCACCTGCTGGCATTTATTAGTCAAAGGAAAAACAAGTCTATGAAGAAGTAACTAAAAAAGCAGCACCAATGAACAATTCTATAGAAAAACCTTAAAATGGCCAGGGGAGCTAGACCCTACCCGTATGAGTTAGTGCTTTTTCACTAGCCTAACTTTCTAAAGATGGTATCTCATTGTTTTACATCAGCTTTTTTTTTTTTTTTGAGACAGAGTCTCACTCTGTTGCCCCAGGCTAGAGTGCCGTGGCATCAGCCTAGCTCACAGCAGCCTCAAACTCCTGGACTCAAGCGATCCTTCTGTCTTAGTCTCCTGAGTAGCTGGGACTACAGGCATTCACCACCATGCCTGGCTAAATTTTTCTATATGTATTAGTTGGCCAATTAATTTGTTTCTATTTATAGTAGAGACGGGGTCTCGCTCTTGCTCAGGCTGGTTTCAAACTCCTGACCTTGAGCGATCCGCCCACCTCGGCCTCCTAGAGTGCTAGGATTATGGGCGTGAGCCACCGTGCCCGGCCCTACATCAACTTTTAAAATTTATTCAAAAAGGCAGGGTATTTTTATAAACCTGCATACCTGGAAGCTAGCAGAATATTTTCAGACAACATGCTCCAGCCCCTGACTTTGGCTCTCTAGCACCTCACAGAGGCAGGAATAAGCAAATGTGCCTTTTGCTCCTCTGCAACATGTCTGCCAGCCAGCATAGCCCAGCCCAGCACCTGTTACCTGTCTATGTGGTTTCTGGAGATGGGGTGGGCTGGAAAGAGAGGAGGTGTAGTAGGGCAGGGGACGCAGGGTGACATGGCAAGTGCCCTACTTCACAGAGTGAACAGGCAGAAGGAAGGTTTGTTTGGGGAGGGGAGGTCCTGGTCAGGACCAGGGAGCTTCTCAGGATAAAGTCTCAGCCTGTAACCTTGAGCAAAACACTTACTTTCTTTTTTTTCCCCATGCTTAAAGGCAAACGTATTCAGTTCCTTTCCATACAGCACATAATAAGCTATGTGCTTATTTCTTTTCCAAATCAAAATTTGGGACAACCTTTAAGGATCCACTCATCCTTCATGGTGAACCATCTTGCAACATGTTCTGATAAGTATCTTATGTAGGAGGAAAAGGAACATTCTTGCTGACCTACAGACTGGCCAAGTGGGGAGTGTACTGGAAGGAGAGCTAACGTCTATTGCCTCTTCTGCCACCATTAAGTCCATGGTAAGGCTATAATAACTTGTACCAACAGTGCCTACAGAAGCCATTCAGAATTGCCACGGCAGGGAGGAAGGCATGGGAGAAGATGAGAGACTCAGTGTCCTATGATGGAGTGTACAGGCTGCTGGCTGTAAAAAACCAGGAACAATGGAAGTGAAGTCATCCTTCTTAGGACGCCATGCCAAGTAGAAAGCCTCCAAAACCTCCCCTAGTCACTAGAACATTCTTCTTCACAAATGAAACCACCTCCTCAGCTTTGCTCTTGACCTCGATAGGTATCTGGTTGCTCTTACGGATCTTCAGCTGCCCTTTGGTTTTCTTCATGTCCTTCTCTACTTGTTGCCAATCAACTTTGATGTAACCAGTATGGTTTGCAAGCTGAAGAAGAAAACATCCACCTCCCACAGCTGTTGCAGCCAACTTTCCAACCTTCTGGAATATGAACCCTGTACACCATCCAGTGACGTCTCCAATTAACAGCTGGGTTGCCACGCTATACTTTTCAGCCAAAGGCCCAGATTCCTGCCCAAACAGCTTGCGCCACCATGGCTGCTTTTTAGCAAATTCTGCAAGGTCCAGCAACTCAAAATTTCCCTCAAAGTTTCCTTGACCAGAGGCGGCCATTTCAGCAAGCTCGTCTCGCGAGGGCACTCGCAGAAGACTGGCGTTGTAGGACGTGGAGTGGCACGCTGTCTTCGCCACCAGCTGGCTTCCACACGTGGGGCAGATGTTTCCATCCCCACAGCAGCAGCAGAAGAGCCACTTACCTTCTTTCTATCTGATTTGCCTGCCAGTAAAACTGGAGTAAGGACCCTTACTTCTCCCGTTATAGAGATGAACTGAACGAGGGAGAGCAGAGAACCGTGCTGAAATGCCTACAAAGGCCTCTGTGGGCGAAAGGGCCCCAGGGCCGGCCAGGGGCTGCGTCATTCCAGGGCCTTTCTGCAGTGCCTGGAGACCCTCTGGGGAGTCCTTTCCTTTACACTGGAGAATGTCACGACAGCTGTGGTGCTTTCTTCCATGACATGGAGAGATACTGTCCAGAAAGTACTGGACAGCCAGACTCCAGATCAGGTGTGGTGTCTGGAAACACCCAACGGACATCTGCTCACATCTGGATTGAAACTACATTTAGATAAATAGGGCTGGGGACACCTCAGAACTCTGCTCACCTTTACAAGAGGCAGTAGGATGGGAGTCAAGGCCTCTCTACCCTGGGTACCTTGGGGAACGGCTGTGTGACATGAATAGAGGTGATCTGGGTTCTATCACCCATCTCTGACACAGCACTTAGAGCCAAACACAGGGAAACCACAGTGAGGGGGCTGGTAGCTCTCCACGCTGGCTGCCACAAATCCAGTGTCATCTCTGGACACTGGCTCCACCATACAACAGTGGGGGTGCCTTCCCACTGCTGTGACTTTCCTCTGCTCTACACTGACAGCTTTAAAATGTCACATTCTGCCTGGCCCTAGACTCTGCACTCAACACAGGGACAAAACTGGAAGAGAAATGTGACATCTGCTTCTGCCAACAGTGTATGACATGGAAAGGTAACATAGAGGCCAAGCTCTAAGTTATTCAGCAGAAAGATTTTCAAAGAATCTTCTGGACTAACCAAACGGGTAAGAGCAGAGGTGCCTTAAACAAGAGGAGACTAGCCTAGAATGGTACGCTGGCTATGAATGTGGAGAAAAAGGGCACATTTAAAGAAAGCCTGCAGCCAGGCGAGCCAGGGCGCGCCTCTGGTCACAGCTACTCGGGAGGCTGAGGTGGGAAGATTGCTTGAGCCCAGGAGTTTGAGGCTGCAGTGAGCTAGGATGACGCTATTGCACTCCAGCCTGAGCGACAGAGCAAGACCCTATCTCTAAAAAACGAAAACAAAAAAATAAATAAAAGTAAAGAAGGCCTCCATCACAGCCCATCTGCTGAGGGTGGGGATGGGAAGAGGGACAGCAATGGGGGACAGGAAGACACGAAAGGACCTTTGCCAGCCGGCACCTGTGGGCCAGGGATGAGCAGCAGAGGCAGCAAGGCGGGCTTCCTGGTGGACAGACGGGGGCTCGAGTGAGGGGCCTGGGCGTGAAGCAGCCGAGCAGACCCGCAGGCTGGAGCGGAAATTGCTGGCCAGGGGCACACAGTGGCGCACCCCCTGCGCACCATGCTACGGCCAGTAGATGGAGGCACCAGAGCGAGCGGCACCACTGCCTGAGGAATGCAGGGGACCTGGGACAAGGGGTGGGATGAAGTAAAGAACATAGGAGGGCCCCACAGGCCTCCTGAAGGAGGGGCAGAATAGCAGAACAGCTAGTAACAGCAGGGACTGCTCAGCAGGCAAAAGGAAACACCCCACCTCCACTGCCAGGCACAACATGGGGCAAACGGATGACAGGGACCAGTATCCTGGATTGGCCCCTGTCTCAGGCACCTGTCTGTCCCCTCCTGCTGCCTGGGTTGGTGGCTGGCAGTTGCAGGCAGAGGAACTAGACCAAAGTTGTATTGTTCACCTGTTCCTGCCCGACATCCTGACACTTCCAGCCACACTCTTGAATCCCCTCCTCTCTGCCAGCTCCACTCTGAGTGTCATGCTGCATAGTGGGGTCCCTGCTCCCCACTGGGGACCTCTTTTTTGTCGGTATAGGCATTCCTGCCTGGGTAGCACACTCACCGTAGGTGAAGAAGCTTGGCAGATAGAGGACCTTCCTCCCCAGCACGTTGGTCCCAAGGGTGGGGGGCATCGGCTCATGACCCACCTTCAGATTAGTAAAGATAAAGGAAGATAAAACTCTACTGGTGATTCAGTCCCACTGCTGCTCCTCCTTCCCAGGCCTCTAGCTCTTCTCCCACAAATTCTAAGTCTGTTCCTGTTAATGTTTTCCCCATCAAAACACACTAGAGATCTCATCAGTGTCTATAACATAGCAGTGAGTAATCTCCCAACGAACAGAAATGTCTAGTCATAGACACTACCCCAACCGCAGTCCAAGTCACACCCACTCCCCAACATTCTTACCGTCAAATCCCAGATATGTCCAGTGTAGACACCCCCATTTCTATGTACTCAAACCCCACTCTCTTCTCAGAATAAATCTCACTTAATTCTCACCTCCAGGCTAAAAACTGCATTCTAATCTCAATTCCGAATGTGGCAGGATCAAAACACATGACACCCAAATCTCAGTCCCAACCTTCAGACAGCTCAGCCCTACGTCACTCATTCGAGTCCATCCCAAACTCAAATTCCTTAGCAAGCCTCCCGCAGGCCCCTGCACATCTATGCCTGCCATGCCCAGGCTGAGCACACCATCAGCTCCAGTCACAGTCGCTCCTCAAGCAAGTCCTCCGCCGTGTTCTCATCTCGATCATCCGGTATCCCTGTGACATGACCCCCCTGATTTCTACAAGACCATTATAGTTCTTGCTTTCCAGATGCTCATTATAACTAAAGTATTTGTTAAGCACGCGAGTGGGAGAAGACCAAGCCATCCGTATCAATGTGCGGAGGCGGGGTGTCTGCTGAGGGTGAGGCCATTTGTTGCGCTGCCAATTAACGTGGAGACAGACCGCTGCCGGGCAGGAGGCAGAGAGTCTAGGAGACCAGCGCCTAGGTGGGGAGGAGAAGGCCCCACCCTCCCTTGGCAGGGGGCCAGGACCCCAGCCCTATGTCGTCCAAGCAGGCCAGCCGGGTTCAGTGACCAGAAGAGCAGCTCCCTTGGACATGGAAGAGGACAGGGCCTGCAGCCGTGGGAGGGAGTAGAAATGACAGGTTAGCAAGCTCTACTTATACACTGGATTATGCTTCTAGTGCTTTTCTGTGTCTTGTGGATATGATTCTGAGAGACATAACATTATTAATTATAAATTTACAAACTCCTCTATGATGGGGATTTTTTTTAAAAAAAGTTCTGGCTGAGGGGAGCCGCAGGAGGAAAGGGGTGAGTCGGCTGACCCAGGCAGTCAGCCCTCTGCTTCTAGACCTTTTCCCTTCTGGGTTAAAAACTTGAAGGCTCTGAGTATAGTTCTGTTTTGATTTTGTTCTCTTAAATACAGGTGATTTTCCCTTTCTACCTTCCACTCCAAGTCTCAGCTACTGCTCTTTTGCTGCCATACTCAGTCTAGTCACTATAATTTGGGAATCCTACTGATTCCCCCTTAAATCTGTGTCCTTTCACCCCACAACCCCATGGCTCCCAAATCTGTTGAATCTATTTTCTTAACCAATACTCAAGTTATCAAAGGCACACTGGCCATATCTCAGCCCCATTCCTCTCACCTCTAGGTTTTAATTATTTGTTCCCAAGTCATGCTCACTCAATTTCATCCTCCAATCTGTTAACTCAGACCTAACCACAGCTCTGGCCCTCTATCAGATCCAGGCAGGGCCAGTCCCTCGTCTTCAAGTCTCCAACTCCCAAACCTGACACCCACACTCCCCAATCTAAGGCACTACATTCCTACTCACTTAATCTAGACAATTACCGAATCTGTCACTCTACTCATGCCACACTCCCTCGCAGTAATCTGCCTGTTTCTGATTCTCAAACTACACTCATTTAAGATCCCACCCCAGGCCGGGCGCGGTGGCTCACGCCTGTAATCCTAGCACTTTGGGAGGCCCGAGGCGGGCAGATTGCTCAAGGTCAGGAGTTCGAAACCAGCCTGAGCGAGACCCCATCTCTACCAAAAATAGAAAGAAATTAATTGACCAACTAAAAATATATATACAAAAAATTAGCCGGGCATGGTGGTGCATGCCTGTAGTCCCAGCTACTCGGGAGGCTGAGACAGTAGGATCGCTGAGCCCAGGAGATTGAGGTTGCTGTGAGCCAGGCTGACACCACGGCACTCACTCTAGCCTGGGCAACAAAGTGAGACTCTGTCTCAAAAAAAAAAAAAAAAAAGATCCCACCCCAAACTACATTAAACTCAGCACCAGCTGGGTTCAAATCAGACAGGCCACCTCTGTCAGCCCAACTGGGCTCATCCATCCTCACCCAACCATCTACCCTTTGGTCACCCTTATTCCTCAAATTCCTTTCCAAACCACCCTATTTCAATCTTCTTTTCAAACCTATAAACCAAATCCACCATCTTCCAAATGATGAAGACACTTCCCCACTTCCCTCACACTGAGCCCACCCCTTCCCTGCTCCAGCATCCTCCATTCCACAGACCCCTCCACCTGCCGCCCCAAATCCCAGCCTTCGCCCAGCCTCACTTCATCAGTCTCCAGTACCCTCTACATCCCAGGCACCACCAGTTCCAAAGCATCAATTTCTCTCCCACATCTTCTGGCTCTACTGCTACAAACACAACCTTAATCTTATAAGAAAAGCAGCCTTCACCACAACTGAAGGCCAATCTTGGTCTCCACCTTCTCCCATCAGCCATTTTCCAGTCTCAGTTCCAATCAGAGTCTAGTCAGGCACCCTGACGCCCCTGACTGAATCTCCTCATTCCTTGTCATATTCCTGGTCAAACCTAAAAACCTATTAGCCCCATTCCTCAGAGCCCAGATTTCAATTACTCCCATTTTCAAGGGCCTCTCATTTCAACTCTATTTCCCATTCTTTCAGTTCATTTATAAGGACAGTAAAATCTGACACCCACTTACCTCAACTCAAATCTAGAAATTGTGGATAAGTCTCCATATCTCAGTCTTTTCCTACTCCCCACTCTTCTAAACTGGAGAACTCTAGCCTACACTTCAGGTATCAGTTCAGGCCTAAAGGCCCCCATCAAAAGCGTGCCCATCTCAGTCACACCCACAGAGTTCTGCCAAACGCACACCTCCATGCACACACCCCTTCCAGCCCAGTCTCTCTCTCAAGCAGCACACTTCATCTGTACAGCATCGCTGGCTACCACCAAATACGCCAAGAGCCCATGCGTCCCTCCATTTTAGAGACATCCCCACCTCCATCTCAATTTCTGCTAGCCCCTACCTATCCTGCCACCTTATGTCTCCACGGCCCTTCTGCCTAATCCCAATACTCCCACGCCCCTTCTCATCCCTCTCCTTACACAAGCACTGTGATTCCTGTCTCCCTACCTCCCGACCCCAGAAAGACTTCCATTTCCCCTCCAAATGCGTCATCCTCTTCCCCCTAAAACCCTCCCCCTCGCTCCCCTCTCCAGACACAATGCTGCCGCTCCCCTCCCCCAAAGCGTGGCCCTATCCGTTCCCCTCCCCCCAAATGCGTCACCCCGTCCCCTCCTCCCACCAAATCTGTCGTCACCATCAAATCCAGAGCCCCCATCTCCGGTAAACCGATAGCCCTCCTCTGCTAAATGTTTTGCTTTAGCATTCTCCCACCAAATTCCGTCACCATTAACTCCAATACCTCCGTCCCCTCTGCCCCAAGTCTGATGACCTTCCTTCCTTTCTTCTTAAATTTTTGGCTCTGGCGCCTATCTTTTGTCCCCCCAAAGACGCTTTAAATCCATCTGTTAGATCCAGAGCACCTGTCCCCCTCTACCCCAAATATGTGCTCCTCACCTTCTAAACACTTTACCTTGGTCCCCACTCATCCACCAAAACTTCTCGCCCCTCCCCCAATTCTGTTGCTTCTTCCCTCACCCGGCCCTATCCCAAGTCCATCGCCCCCAGCCCATCGCCCCCTCAAACTCCCCAAATCGCGAGTTCCTCCCACCCTCTCCGAAATCTGTGGCTCCGATCCCTTCGTCCCCCTCCGGCTCCCTTCGGCCCCCCAAACCCGCTGTCCCCGCCCCTCTCCCAAATCCGTCGCCATTGACTCCTCCGCACCAATTCTCCTCCAGATCCCAGTCTGTCACCTTCATAGCAGCCTCCCATCCCCTTGCGGCGCCCCTAGTCCCCCACCTGGATGAGCAGCTTCACGTAGAGCAGCGGGTGGCTGAGCGCCGTCACACCCGCGCCCAGGGCCACGAAGAGAGCCTCAGTGGTCGGGGCGTTGTCCCCGGAGCCCAGACCCCCGTTCGCGCTGTCCATCCTGCGGGCCGAGGGCTGCGCCGCGGGCCGAGGGTGGCGCGGGTGTGCGCGGTGCGCGGGCGGCGGATCGCGAGCTCGGGCCTCGACCCCCGCTGCCGCTCCGCCGCGAGCTCCGGCTCCAGCTCCGGCTCCCGCCATCCCCGCGGCCCCGCCGCGAGCCCAAGGCGCCACTTCCGGGTCCGAGGCCCCCATGGCGCCGGGCGGCGAGGTCACTCCCCGTCACGTGACGGGGAAGCCACGCCCCGGGGCGTCAGAGGGCGGGGCCGGAGCGCGCGACTCGAGAGCGCGGGGGAGCCGAGAGCGCGGCGCGGCGGGCCGAGAGCCCCGGGCGTGGCTGCCCGGTGGGGTTGGGGCCTGGCGGGACGCTGGGCTGCGGGCCTGGGGCCGGTGGTCACGGCTGGTCCGGGCCGGGGGCTCGCGGGCTGTGGAGGCCGCCGAGCCCCAGGCGCTACCCCGGGAGTTCCGGAGGGGGGCGGGGCTCGGCGGCGCCGCCAGCCTAATGTCCCCGGCGTGGTCTGTGGTGCTTCCAAGCCCCCTCCCTGGCTTCGGGAGTTTTCTCCGCAGTTCTGGGCCCGCCCCTTTGCGGCCCGGAGCCCAGTCACCCGGGCCTCCCGCGGTGTCCAGCGCCAGGAGTGCCCTCCCGGCCGCGCCCGCGCCGCGGGGCCTTGCGCTCCTCCCTTAGGGCCGTGCTTGTAAAGTGTGCTTTGCGGTAAGGAAACTGAGTATCTCCCTCGCTAGATCGTGAAGGTTTTCCTCAGTCCTTCGATAGGAGCACACGCAGGCACTGCGCCGGGCGCCTATGGTTCATCCGCAGTTAATGGAAGTGAGTAATAATAACTTGCCCTTAAATTGCAGTTACTATTCCCTTTACACGCGGTAGCTCAAGTATAATCCTCACAACAACCCTCTGAGCTAGAGCAAGGGCCCCGTCCGTGTGTGTAAAGTCCCCTACCCCCGCGACACCTACAGCAGTGCCCTGCTAGCGTGGGAGTTCTCAGTAAAAGTTTCTGTTTGAACAGATCCTAGAGTCTGCAGGGACACAGCAGTGGGGAAACCTGGTCCCTCTGCCTGTACTTACCCTGTTGCCATGTCATTGTGAGCAATGTTTTTAGACATCTGCCTTCTGATCACTTTTACTGTTCAGGTTTCTCCCAGTGTCCTTTCTGACTTTCCTCCTGCCTTACCCCCTAAACAGCTACCTCCCCCCTCTGCCACTGCTGACAACACACACCCTATACACTTCCCACACTGAAAACAAGCCAGTTTCCCTCTCTCCCTTCCTCGCCTTAGCCTCCCTAGTCTTTCCTTGTCCAGGAGGGATCACCTGCAAAACCACCTAGCCCTTTCAGCTTGCTGTGTTTCTCCATGAAACACAAATTTCATCAAACCTCCCACCCTCCCCCAGGATCGTTTTAGATGACTTCCTTTTGATTTAGTTCCTGATTTAGTCTTCTCAGTCAAGTTCACAGTGCCACTCAAACTTTTCACCCAGAAGAAGTCAGAGGTTTCTAGCTTAGGGGTAGGGCTGGGGAGGGGATGGTTTACTTCTCCTTCTTTCTGAAACTTCCTCACACAAATCTTTTCCTTCTCTAGGCTTTTCCTCCCCATTTTTCTCCAGCTGTCTGTTTTTCCTTCTGAACTTGGCTGTTCACCTTTAAGCCTTGTCCTCTGTCTTACATGGTAACCTTTTGTATGCTATATGACGTTTTTGTGTATGCTATATTTGGCTCTTTCAAATCGTGGTTCCATGTAAGGCAGCTACATTGTATTGGTTTGTATTATTTTGTATCTTCCACAGCACCAAATACAGGAACATACATGCTGTAAATGTTCAGTAATCTAAGAGATTGAACAATTTTCCTAAGCAAAGAAATTAAGGAAAAATAGACCAGTTAGACCAGGTCTAAACCAGTTAGACCCCTAGGGTATCAAGAAGAAGCAGATGTAAAACTGCAGTTGCCGTCTAGAAACAGCCTACCTGCTGAAGGAAACATGGGAATTGGAGTCAAAGGTGGCTAGCTCTGAATCCTGGCCCTGAAAGCCTCTGAGCCTCTATTCCTGCAGATATACAATAAGAGACCTAAGGTTAAGGGATGTGACAAAGTGGCAGAGCCACCACTCAATACATGCTGCCCAAAAGGCTAAAATGTTGCCAAAACCTCCGGGGGAGAGATTCATCTTTCAGAATTTCCTCTGTGTATTGCTTTGAATATTTTCCCTACCTCCCATCACTCCCTTCTTTGTGGATAGTTCTTCATTTGTACAACCCAAGTTGTTTCGGCACAAGGCAGGATGTTTAACTTGTGGGCAGGGAACCACTTCTGTCCAAACAGTAATAGGGGCTTCTTACTAGCTGGTGACAGCCCCAGCAGTTTCTGCCCCAGGGTACATTCTGAATTAGGGAAACAGAGAACTGTGCTGAGATAGAGCCACTCAATTCAGAAAACACCTCTTATCCGTGTTGTACTAAAAGAAGGTACATTACAACTGTGACCATGCAGGTCATCAGAAGTAGTATACTGGCATGAGGAATTGCTAAGCCTTCTGGGGGGAACATGGAAGACAACTTTGGATCTGAGAGGCCCCCAGCTTTGGAATGAAACTTATGAGAGAAAATAGGGGAAGTGGGGGCCTTTGAACTCTGGGGATACTTGGTATGCCACAGTGAATCCAATACTGCCCCCAAACAGAAAGGATCAAATGCATAGTTTGTGCTCAGCTCCATCATTCTCTTGGTGGAGAAAGGCAAGTCTACCTAAATCTCTTGTGACCTACTGTCCCAAGAGGTGGGAAGAAGTTTTCTTTTCCAGGATCAATCAGTAAAAATCAAATTTTAATGGGCCCTTATCCAGAGGTGGGGTGAGTTTCAGGATTAAGATTATATCAGGACTGTTCATTCCAAGGGAGACTACTGAGCGATAAAAATGAATAAACTATTGGTATGGGCGAGGACGTGGATGAGTCCCAAAACATTATTCTGAGTGAAATAATCCAGACACAAAAGAGCACCTGCTGTGTGATTCCATTTACATAAAGGTCCAAGACAAAATTAATCATCAGGATAAAAATCAGAACAGTGCTTGCCTATGGTGGAGGACTGGCTGGAGAGGGGTGGGAGGAACATTCTGGAGGGACGGAGATGCTCTTCATCTTGATTGTTGCGGTGGGTACATGATGTATGTCATAGTAAAAGCTCATCAGACAGTACTCTTAAAATCTGGGCATCTTCTTTTTTTTTCAGACCAAGTCTCATTCTGTTGCCCGGGCTACAGTGCCGAGGTGTCAGCCTTAGCTCGTAGCAACCTCAAACTCCTGGGCTCAAACAATCATTCTGCCTCAGCCTCCCAAGTAGCTGGGACTACAGGCATGCGCCACCATGCCCAGCTAATTTTTTCTATGTTGTTTATGATGTTAAGTTGGCCAATTAATTTCTTTCTATTTTTAGTAGAGACAGGGTCTCGCTCTTGCTCAGGCTGGTTTGAAACTACTGACCTTGAGCGATCCACGCGCTTCAGCCTCCCAGAGTGCTAGGATTACAGGTGTGAGCCAAAATCTGGGCATCTTATTGTATGAACATTATTCTGAGTCCTCTTAGTGGGTATCTAGGGGTATTACAGAGAAGGAGCTGTCAAAATGTCCACTGCACACATTCATGTGAATTCTTAAGTAACTAGAAAAATGAAACTATTCTCTTTTCCTCTGCATCCCCACCACTCCTTGGCAAAATCTGAATCCTTATAGCAGTGCTGTGCTGCTAAGCATTTAACAACTGGCTCTCTAGGGGAAAAAAAGTTCTGGTCTATAACGCTTGTAGATTCATGCGGGTGAATACTCTTGCCATGGCTGATTTCAGGCTGCTAATGTGATGTCACAGAACATGGAGCTGGGACGAGATGGGCGCAACTGACTTTAACAGGCCAGTGTGAGCCAACTCCAGCACATCACTGGGACAAAGCCTTTATTTCAAAGGTTCAGAGATTCTTGCCAGAGCCGAGGAAGCAGCCCTTAAACAGTGTACAGCTATGGAGCAAATAGCCATTTCCTATCAGTGTGAGTGTTGAAAATGATGGGAAGGAACTGACACTGCCCTAAAGTGATAATATGAAATACTGACCCCACTGTGACTGGGGTCTGCCTTGTAAAATGTGGCAGTTGGGAACTGTATAACTGAGCTTAGCAACCTATTGGCATCATCAGGATTTTTAAGTGAAAATATAGGTTATTTCGTTTAAAATTCATTATTCCTAATTTCTCTTGGGAAGAACAAAGAAGAAAATCTGGCACCACAGGGCCTACATCCCCCCTGGGCAACAACTGGTCATGACAGTCAAAGCTGCCACCATGAGATGGGTGTGGAATCCCCACCCTTAATATCCATGTCTTAGCAAGACACCTGCTGCAACCAGTTATGTTACCTGTGTGGTTCTGATCAGCATTTGTGTAAGTCTTGGTTTGGACTGTGCCAACTCTGAGAGCTAGTTTGGGTGTGCGTGTGTCAACAGTTAACTTTTGGGTGAGCAGAAGGATATTCCCCACACACATAATTCCACAAGTGGGAGGAACCAGATTTGGCATCTTGGGATGCTCATGCTCACTCTGGGTTCTCAGTGGGACTTGGGACACCAGGGGCCATCACCACCCAGGGCACTGCGTGGACCCCCCGGTTCCTAAAATCCCAGTTGAACACTGAATCACCAAGGGAGTCTTTTAAAAAGCCCAGCCCTCACCCCGGAGGATTGACTAAGAATCTCTGAGGATAGGGTCTTGAATTAAAATGTTTTAGCAAAGCTCTCTAGATGATTCCAATGTACAGGAGAGTTGGGAATCGCTATTCCCTATGGAAAACCATGGAACGCTCAGAGGCAAGTCTGGAGTGGCCAGGAGGCTAGCTTGCATCCTGGTGGAGGGGGTGGGTGTCTCCCAGGCGGGGGAGTTACAGAAGCACAAAAGGAGACTAAGGAAACGAGAGAGATGAAGAGAGACTAAGAAAAAATCTCCCTTGATTCCTTCAGCCAGTGTTTACCGAGTACTGACCATGTGCCAAGAACTTGTCTAGTTGCTGGGGGCAGAGCAGTGAGCAAAACAGAAACGCCTGCCCTCGCAGCACTGGTATTCTAGCGGAGAGACAGACCACCAACGTAATAAATAAATGGGCATCTCAGACAGTGATCCGTGAGAAAGATAAAGCAGGAGAGGGGACCGGGCGTGTCTGTGGGGGGCGTGAGGAAAGTCCTTGTGAGAGGTGACATTTAAGCAAAGATTTGGGGGAGGCCAGAGGGTGAGCCCACAGATACCTGGAGGAAGAGCTTTCTAGCCTGGAGGACTAACAAGTGCAGAGCCCCTAGGTGGGGGTTTAGCAGGGGAGGCAAAGAGGAAGTGAGCGAGGGGAGAGAGGCTGAAACGAGGTCAGGGAGCTGGGCCTTGCGGGCTGCTGGGCTACAAGGCCTAGTGTAGACTCGGCTATGTCCCCCAGTGAGACATACATTAAACATATCCCTGATGTAGGCCAGGGGAAGGGACCCTTGAAAAGAGGCGGAAAGTGAAGCAAGAGTGGTGGACATC